CCAACTGAGAATTGTCTTCTGTCGCTGAGCCTATTTCACTGCAATGGAAGGTAGCTGTCATAAACTTAGCTTTATTTCAGATCTTGTCCTTCCCTTCTATTTTATTTTTATTATTTCACATTTTTCTTCCTTTTTAAAAATTTCTTAAATGTTATTGTGAAGGTGATGTGCAGAGAGGTGACAGTTACATAATCACATTTTTCCTTGACCTTCAAATTTCCTTGAAGACCTGGAGAAAATTAATGGTCAGAGAATGGCTCAGCAGACCCCAACTTTCTTAGCAGTTCTAGGATGAATTTGTAAACTTTCCATAAATGTTCCTGTGCTACCCAGCTCTCTTCCAGCTATAGGTGGATCTCTAGGGAGTTCATTTCACACATTGGTTCTTTAGGAATCTTTTGAGACCACCGAAGTCTGACAGGAGTATGTCAGCTAAACTGATTGCATTATCTGCACTTTAAATTTCAGTGGGGCCTATGGTACACTTGAAAGCAGGGCCTGGGAGCTGAGCTGCAATAGACTTGAGTTGATATTAAGAAAATATTCAAGGTGACCACTAGTTTCCATGCTGCCTCTGGCGAGTGCTCATTCATGTGCAGCATAGACTTAATCGGGAAACTTTGTGCTTGTCAGAAAAGTAGTGGAGTGTGATCCATACCTCTCATCCTCTTTTGGCAAGGAATAGAATCAAGAGAGAAATCTGGGTTGTAATAGCTCTCAGGTTCAATGCCCATAACGAATCCAGAATTCCCTCATCCACGTATAGTGGGTCTACCCTCCAAATATATCCTTGAATCTTCTTGGATCTCCCCCCACACACATACTTTCCATCTAGACCTTCCTTTCAAATCTTATTTAACTAGATTTTATACACATATAAATTGATGTAAAGGAATTAGAAATCCAGAGACCCTAACTCCCTTGAGTTTGCCCCTTTGGAGTTCTGTTTCCTCCTCTTCATATGCACAACCTGAGAGGTTGTCATTTCTCACACTTCAGCCCATGTTCAATTTAATTGGATCTGATTAAAAGAAATAGTTCTTGAATTGGGCCTGGTGGCTCATACCTGTAATCTCAGTTATTCAGGAAAAGAACATACCAGAAAAACAAAAAGACCCTATGTGAAAAATAACTGAAGTAAAAAGGGCTGAGGGATGTGATTCAAGTAATAGAGTGTTTGCCTAGCAAGAGTGAGGCCCTGGGGTCAAGTCTCCCTACCACTGTAAAAGAAAAAAAAAAGAAAGAAAGAGTTCTTTTTATGACTCTGGCAGAAGTTTGACTCTACATCACCATGATTGCTCACCAATGGATCTACCTAAATAGATAAATGCACTGATGATCATCAATGCAGCTATCACTGGCCAAGCTATAAATGTATTCCTTAACTGCAGACCTGTAGGCTTGAACTTGAGCATAGCCACTGCGAGCAGTGTAGTTTGAGACCTTTATTGAAGGAATTGCTATTGCCTTTGGGACTTGAGGGTTCCTTAAGCCAGCGAGAATCCTTCACGTTCCCTTACTCTCCAAAAGCAGACATAGATTCAAGGAAACCGATTTGGATGACATTCTCTGTTAGACCTATAAGATCCTCAAAGGAACACTATAGGAAGAGAATTGAACTGAAGATTCATTTCAATACCTTCGGATCACTGGAAGTGATGTGTGAATAGAACACAGTGCGTGGGATGAGGCTCCTAAGCCTTCATGGAAAGATAGAGAAGACTGACTCTTGTGGCCTTTTGAGGACCTGAGTGGGAAATGGAAAAAGCAAAGATATATGAAAACAAACAAAATAGACAATGCTCAATGTTTCTCTAGCGTGATTTTTTTTGAAAGATAAATTTATAACAATTGCTATTTAGTACTGCTACATCACCAAGATTCAAGTCACGGTCATGCTGTGTTCTCAATTTTATTCAGACATTTGTGGTTTGTTGATAGGCTGAAACTGCAACAGGTTGTCAGCAGAGCCATACTTTCTGGAATCCAAAAACTGGGACCATTCATTCAATGGTGCATTTTTAGCGGGAGAGGACCTCAGATGCTACCATGTGCCAGAAGTATTTTTGTCCTGGTCACTGAGTAAAAAGCATATAGTAGGATTTTTTTCAGATATTTTTTTTGGGGGGGTCCGGTAGTGGGGCCTGAACTCTGGGCCTGGTTGCTGTCCCTCCATGCTTCAGCTCAAGGCTAGCGCTCTACCACTTGAGTCACAGCGCCACTTCTGGCTTTTTTCTTTTTGCTTATGTGGTGCTGAGGAATTGAACCCAGGGCCTCAGGCATGCAAGGCAAGTGCTCTACCACTGAGCCACCTTCCCAGCTCCTCAGATAATTTTTTAAACCCAAACTTCCTGGAGTTGAATTTCCAGTGTGTTGAGCACAAACAAGAATATTTCATGTGTTTTTGCTGAGAAGAGAAAACTATGAATCCTTCCTCTGATGACTGATTCTGAAAATCCGTGTGACTCAAATCTACATTTAGGTTATTTGCTCTCTGGACATTTAAAGAGTACTTCCTCTCCAATGTTATTCCAATGGTGTCAAGCAGAATCATTCTGAAATCATTCAAATGAATTGGTTCAACTGGGCCTCCCACTCAACATTCCTGCATTTTCAAGATGAGCTGGTATATAGGGATACTTAGAAAATAGGTTGAGAATTTCTTACAACAAACCATAGAGGATTTATCCTATCAGATAGTTATAAATTATAAATTCAAATGTTGTTTGTAATTTATCCTATCTCCTCCCTCCAGGAATCTACTATCAAACCTATATAAATGATTGCCCCATGAAGAAGGGTTTGTCTAACATTTCGAATATTCAGCTTTTCACGCTGTCAGAACTTCACATACAGCATTATCAGGCTCCCTAAGGCGAAAAATGCTTCTCTCTATGAAAGCAATTGAAAGAGACACTGGTATAATTGACACATCAATTTAAGTAGTTGAGGCGAATATTTTTTACAAGTACTTGAATATAACAAGTAATAGAGCTTTTTAAGAGACTCACTAGGGTTATAATTTAGAATTGCTATAAAATTATTTCATCTTATCCATCTCCAATTCCTATCTTGAGAAAACTTAAAAATACAAAGTTCATACATTTATATTTTTACTAATGGTTAATTCAGAAAAGGAAGAATTTCCACCTGTTACCTTGGCACTAGAGGCAGGATTTCTTGTTTTCATTTGTTCCCTCAACTCAGAATTATATATTATACATGATAATCTACACGTAATATTGTACAATAAAATTTTTCATAAGAATTTTAATTTCAGGGATAAAAACCATACATCACCACTATCTTTTCTAACATAGTCGGGAAATAACCACGATTATTTGGCCAAGAACCTATAACTGATGGTTGGCCAACACAACTCAAGTTTATTATCTTTTATGTTCAGTATTATAATGGAAATCTATCTATGCACATGAATAACATAGCCCATGAACATCATTTAAGCACAAAACAGTATGTCAGTGTTTAAGCTGCCTGTTCATTTCTCTGAAATCAGATCATTCCCAAAATGATTGCAATCTCTGGCTGAACCATAAATCCCCAAATCAAGGAAAATGATAACCTTCAAACAATTTCTAGGTCCAGGTAACCCTCTCACCACGTTTATTTGTGAGTATATTACTTTCATTTGGAAATTTTCCTTGATATGGCATGCTTGTGTATTAAATCCTATTACCCAGTTTGAGACAGAGATGAATAGAAGCAGACCTGGCAGTGATGTAGAGTAAGATATTTGCTCAGTAACAGAAATGCCTCTCATCTGACAGCCTTCTGGATAACATATTATGAAGGTGGTTTTTCACTGTTGGTGTTTGTTCTCAATTCCTCCTGTTGGTTTTCACAAAGGATACTTCAGTGTGGAGACACCTGTGAGACCATCGCCCTCTGTATTTACCTTGGGTGGTCATTAACAAAGGCATTGCTGCAGCAGCACCTGAGTTAACCCTGTCCTCCAGTCCAGAGTCACACGTTAACTAACAATCGGTGTATTCTTATAATAAGTAATTCACTCATAATGTTCAAGAGATTCCAAACATCAGAGACATGAAAGGCTTAGCTACAGAGTAAGTTAGTTGGGAGTATTTAGAAGTGAAGTTTAGCAAAATTAATCTCCACTTAGGTTTAAATTTCTCATCTTAACTTTAAAGTCAGTGAGAAAATGCCACATGACTCCCCATTCCAGGGTTGCTGTTTTCCTCTTTGTTGTTACTCTGAATTGCTTCCAGTTTAAGACAATTAAATAGATACAAACTAAGGCAGTGGACTTTTAATATACCAAGGATCCTAGCTTTATGATGTCAGTCAAATTATGAATATTTCACTTTATGCAATTAATGAATGCCATAGCATAATTAAATGATATTATCTTTCTGTAGTTTACCTTAAAAATTGAATCAATTTGCATGTAAACAAGAGGAAGATGTGGCCTCTATTTAACATTCCAAGTGATCGTCCAAACTCAGCTTGCTGCTGCATAAATCACTGAGAAGGTTATTCATTGTCTTGTTTGTCCTTGGTCTAAGTTTTGCCTCTTAACTGTACTCAAATTATGTCTCTCTAATCAAGTCCTAGTTATGTAGAGACTATGAGAAATGGATATGTTTGTCCAAGGAACAAGATGACAATGTATGCTGAATTATCTGAAGGAAAAGAATACGGTATAGATGAAAACACTTAGAGGTAGCTTCCTATTAAATCCATTTCATCAGTATGGATAAAAATTTCCAGAAAGTTGAGCTGAAAAGTTAAGTTAAAATGATTACTCCTTAACGAAAATGTGAGAGGAGCTGTTATAGTCTCTGCCTGGATGTTCTCATGAGCATACTGACTTATTTTTAATACTAACCCTCCTTACACTTTAATAGGGATAGAGAGAGCTAATTAGACTGAAGGAAATACTTAACAACTTTCATGAAGTCTTCAGCCTTTTGATCTGGGATACGAAGGCATAATTTTTTTTCTTCCATTCTACTTGACAGATAGTTGCTGCAATAATGGCGATTACGGGCATTGTCATGATGGCATATGCAGATAATTTCCATGCTGACTCCATCATAGGGGTGGCGTTTGCAGTGGGCTCAGCCTCCACATCTGCATTATACAAGGTAGGTTATACATCTTTGCCAGTCGTCAATCTGTCACTCACAGCTTAGAGTTAAAAGAGAAAATAGGGGAGTACAATGAAACCATTGGTTAGAAAACAGTAGGTGTGTTTAGACAATAATAAGAACTAGTTACCGAGTACATGTTCTGTGGTGGATGCCTGCCAGAAAAATATCACCTATATTAACACAACTTTATGAGGCACAGATATTTATTGCGACTTTCCAGATGAGGAAATGGAGACTATGAAAGATTGAGTAAATAGCCATAATTCATACATCCAGGAAGTGATAGAATGAAGAGGATACTTTGGACTAGCCGGCTCCCAGCCCGGGTGCCATGTTCTCCTCCCCCATATATCAGGCAATGAGAGCAGAAAAGAAAGACTTTGCTTCCTTTGTGTTTCATTCACTTACAATCAGTCATCATGATTTTAACCCAAAGGAGTTGCAAGCATAACAAAGAAGCTGTCATTTGAAACCTTCATGTTGACTTCATATGGACCCAAGGCTTCAGGAGCCGATGTTCAAATGCACTTTTCTTCTTAAGTCTGCTCTATCTGCTCACTCTTTTCTCTCCATGGGCTCTCTCTGTCATCCATGAAAATGTCATTCAGGGTCATTGCACTTGACTTTACGGGCAAGGACTCAAAGCAGATCTAAAGGGTTATTCTCTGAAGTTCTAATTTTAAGACCCAGTATACTTTCTGAATATATCCAAAGGACAATTCCAATTTCATCTTTCCTAGTGTCTATTTTTAAAAAACAAAACAAAACAAATCCACCTCAGTGAAAAAAAAATCCTTTACATCTTTCTGGAGCCCTGTTTTGATTATTCACCACCACAGTGGCTCAATGTGGGTAAGTTTACTTCCATATTGACATTTCTTGGCTCGTTGATTCTGTGTGACAAGCTTGACAAGTTACTTATTTGCCATTAGTGCCTAACTTGCTCCTCAGTGGAAATTCAGCCAAGAAGTCTGAAATGACCAGAGACTAATATGTGTTCAAGTGCTCTTGACTAAATCTTTCAGGAGAAAAACTAACAAATTTACATAAAACAGTACACGGAATTGCTAGAAAGCCAAAATGGCCATTTTACAGAGATATGTGTATCGACCAGGTAATAGAATATATTCATTCTATAATCATTGCTGGCATGTACAAAATAATATCTGTACCATGACTCTAAACAAAAATAATCTGCTTCATTCTATAATATTAGTTAGTGAGTTAGTAAAGGAAGAAGAGATTCATTATGTATGATTGTATGTGGTAGTACTGGGGTTTAAACTTAGGACTTTATGCTTGCTAGACAGGCCTTCTACCTCTTGAGCTGTTCTTAAAGCCCAGAACAGGGGTTAAGAAAGCACAAAATATGGACTTAGGGCTAGCTTTCTGCCCTAGCCTGTTCTATGGCTTCAAATTAGATCTCTTGCATTCATTCTCTGTACCTAGATATGCAATCCAGAAAAAAATAAAATAAAATAAATTAACATAATGTTTTTGAAGACATTATAAGCTCAGATAGAAAGAGTGCTTAGAAATTCAAGGCATTAGTATTTCAACAACCTAATAACAGGCTCTCTGTTCAATTTAATTTTCTTTATCTATCAAAATAAGGATGCAGTGAATACCATCTTGAAAGGAAGAGTGGATGGCATTTCTAGCCTAGACTTTGCTGGGCTTGTCTGTCCTGTGATTTCTCATTCCCCCTGTACCCACCCTGATGGTTGCTCTTTCCATAGAATATAGTACCCCAGCTATTTTCAACACTATATGAAATCCATCTCATAGCAGTTGCTGTTTCATGTGAGAGATCTAGGGTATTTTGTTGTTGGTGGTTGTGGTCGTGGGGCTTGAATTCTGGGCCTGGGCACTGTCCTTGTACTCTTCAGCTCAAGGCTAGCACTCTACCACTTGCGCCACAGCACCATTTCCAGTTTTGTGGTGGTTAATTGGAGATAAGAGTCTCATGGATATTCCTGCCCGGGCTGGCTTTGAACTGTGATCCTCAGATCTCAGCCTCTTGAGTAGCTAAGGATTACAGGTGTGAGCCACCGACATCCAGCCTAGGGTATTTTAGTTCCCTATTTCAGCAGTCTATTTTGTGCCACAGAGCTGACGGAGCCAGAAGACACAGAGATGAACTCTGGACCAGTATGCTCACTGTGTCATCAGTAGAACTCGCCTTTCTGCTCCAACCAAATCTCCAGCTGTGTAGCTGAAGAGTTTCTTCCTCTTTCCAGGTTCTGTTTAAGATGTTTCTGGGAAGTGCCAACTTTGGTGAAGCTGCACACTTTGTCTCCACCTTGGGTTTCTTCAATTTGATCTTCATCTCCTTCACCCCTGTCATCCTGTATTTCACCAAAGTGGAGCACTGGTCTTCTTTTGCAGCTCTGCCATGGGGCTGTCTCTGCGGGATGGCAGGGCTGTGGTTGGGTAAGTGGGCACATGTTTTGCCTTTATTTCCTATGTCAACTTATCCTCTGCCAGATGGTCCTAGTAGTAGTATTCCCTATGTTCTATTGCTCAAGCTTGCACTAGTTCATATTACTGAAAGTTCAGAAGGGTCTTTTCATAGCTATCTGTGGCATGCTAAGGCATGCAAGTGGCAGTCTAGGTCACTGTTTTCCATTGGCCTTCAGGTAGCCTCATCCCATCTTTATGATGTGCTAGGTGACTTATTCTACACATGTGTGCCATGGAGTGTCAGGCAGAGGTGAGAGAGGGTATGGAACATCTAAGAAACTCAGTGTTCAAAATGGCCTCCTACCCATAATCCTAGCTACTCGGGAGGCTGAGATCTGAGGACCACAGTTTGAAGCCAGCCCAGGCAGGTAACTCTTATCTTCAATTAAACAGCAAAAAGCCAGAAGTAGAACTGTGACTCAAGTGGCAGAATATCAGGCTTGAGCAATAAAGCTAAGGGACAGTGCCCAGGCTCTGAGTTCAAACCCTAGGGCCAGACACCAAAATTGCCTTAAGAAGCAGACTCAAGAGAGAGGAAAGAGATGGCACTCAAGACAGAAGTAGCTCGTGCAGGCTCCTGGTTTAAAACGTACTTAATATGTAATCCAGAAGGTGCCAGGCTCACAACTGTGTATTAAGTAGCTGACTGCTGAGCTTAGAGAGCATGTTTGGTAATAGGAAGCCCTGACAAGGAGAAGATGCTTGGCTGTCTAGATTAAGTCCACCGTGCCTAGTAATAAATAAAGCAAAAATCCTTTTTCATGTTTTCCCCTCCAGCTCCCTAGACCAGGGAGTCTATCTTCCTTACTTCAGCTCTAGGCTCCCACGTTCTCCTTTGCTTTTTCTTTTCCTTTATTCCCATTTACAGATTATTATACTTCTCATCATTCAAAAAGTAACGCACACTGAGATGCTGTTGGCAGACACTTCCAAGCTATTTTAGTTTTAGAAAATTAGTTCCTATTTAAAAAGAGAAGCAAACGACGTGTCCCTTGGCTTGCCACCCTTACAATTGCCTGAGCATGGAACAGATTGTCTGTGATCCCGGACACCACTGCTCCTGGCCTAGCATGTGCCACTAGTGGCCTTGCGCTCGGGACACACACACACAAGACTACAAGGCTGACTGATTCTGAAGAGCTCCTCGCTCATTTGCAGGCTCCTACCCAAGTCCGTTTGTTGTTACCCTGCTCACTTTCGGAGCAAGGACGGCTCCCACTTTCAAGCTGCACTCCTTGGAATAAGAGGAGCCGGAAAAAGAATGAACCTGATTTCTTCTCTCCAAGCAGTCAAGACAGCAATCACCCAATGCCCTAGTGTCTGTTTACTCAGAATTAAACCATTCCCATTTGACTCCTCTTTCCACACACTGCCCAAGTTTAGTCCCTCTGTCTGCCCCACATCTACCCACCACACTCTACCTGTAGGACTTCTGCCTACCTTCAGCTGACCTTCTTAACCAAACTGATAGCATCTGAATTAGCAGCAGCATGGCAGTTCCCAGGAGAAGATGTGATTCCAGCCAGGGTATTGATTGGGTCACTTATTTTTCAACTTCAACCCCACCCCCAGACTCTTAAGGGGAGGTCTTAAATAACCAGAAAACACGCAGGAGAAAAGTCAGCCATTAGTTGTTGGTCCCTGGAGTTCTACTTTTCAAAGCCAAAATGGTATGGCTAGCATCACTCATTACCACTGCTAAGTTGAGTGGAAATCAATAGCAGTGTTTCTATAAGACAGAAGTATCCTAATTAAAAGTGCCTGGATCATTTTCTGGCCAAAAACAACCTAACTGCCAACAAAACCAACATTTCACTGACTCCTAGCCCCTACTGCAAACACATAGTTTCCACTTCACTGCAAATAGCCTTCTATAAATGTACATATTTCTTAGTGTGCCTAATATTGCCCCAAATCCACGCTAGTAGGCTTAGCACCAGCTGAACACTGTAACTGCTCAACCAGACCCACACAGTGTACAATAGAGTTCACTATGTCAAAGCTGGGCTATGACAAATTTGAAGAGACAGGCCCTTTCCTGACTGCTTACAAACCCTGGGGATTTAGAGTCCTCCGTACTTACCATCTTAAGGTTCTCCTGGGAATCCATTACAACCTACTCGGGCCTGCTCAGAGGTAAATCTGGGAGACAGCAGTCCGTGCTCTGAACTGCCTCACATTTCCTGTAGCAATGGCTGCAAACTTCTTATCCTCCAGGGATAGTGCCTTTGCCCAAGCGTAGGTCTGCTCATCCATTCATTTTACTTGCCTGAATTGCATTTAAACTTGGACTGAGTACCATGATTTAGATAGCACATTAAAATGATATTCTTTTCCTTACGTTGTCAAAGGAGGATGTGCGTGTATGATAATGACCTTAAGAGCGGAAGGAAACAATAGCATAAGCTATCAGACGATAGCTGTCCCTTTAGAAGTGAGCAAACTTTTCATCATCCAGGGTCGAGCCGTAACGTGGCCAAGTGACAAAAGTAATGAAGCGCCAAACTTCATTTGGTAATTTGCGTTCAACCTCTGGCTAGCCCTAGCTGGTCTTTATAGTGCTAATAAGCAATGTAGACTCACATGCCTTTACCAGCCAGTTGGCAAGAGCTGAGGCAAACAGTTGGCAGGGAAGGACAAAAGACCATGGCTAATTCAGGCAAGATTAGAGGACTAATTGATCAAGGTGCAGATACTTGAGAAGGCACATGTACAGAAACAATGACTGCTTTGCATTAAGACGTCTAGTATCCCAATTCCCCTTCATTCCGTAATATCTTCTTTGATGTTACAGCCTTCAACATCCTGGTGAACGTGGGCGTGGTGTTGACATACCCAATCTTAATCTCCATTGGCACAGTGCTCAGCGTCCCTGGAAACGCAGGTACCATTTGACCACCACCATAAGTCTCCTGTTCATGTTTGCCGTATGTGCTGGCTTGTTTTCTCTAGCAGTTATGCATTATGCCTCAGATGGTCTTAAATTTCATGAAGGTGGCAGACAACAGAATCACTATGCAGCAGATTTTTTAATTACAGCTACAAAAACACTGTTGGGGTTGTTTTGTTTTGTTTTGTTTTTTTAACTTGGTGGTGCTTTTAGAAATAAATACCAAATGTATCATTTAGGTTTCATGTAATCTCCCTGACAACCTAATTTTGTGGTATTTTTAGAGGAAGTCCTGTGGAAACAAAAGGCATCCCAGCAGAGGACTCTCAAGTAAACGTCACTAACAAAGGAGCAAGAACCATGTAGGGCACTGGCTCCCCTTCAGGCTATCCGTGGGGAGCTGTGGGAACTTCTTCCTGGGGCTGAGTAGGTGGTCCTCTAGGAAAAGCAACTGGATTTGCTTCAGGGGCAGCAGGAAATGCTATTTTTCCAGGATTATCTTTTTAGTGAGACTAGGAATGAGAATGGGTAATCACTGCACAGTCCCTCCAGCTTGAAAATTCTGTGATTCAAAGTCTTGCCTAGAGTCACCCTTACAAGCAGCAGCCGTTTTTTGAGCATGTATTAAAGGATCAGGGCTGTAAACAGGACAGAAAAAAAAATATTACATTCTTGTTCTCTTAAGATGGTTACAATTGAATTTGGCAAAGCAAAGCAACATATACAAAAACAACATGGAACTGTACAACGTCACTTATTATTAGATTCTAAATTGCATTAGATGGACTCCAAAAGCGATAGGACATTCCAGAGGAAAGGAATAGCTCAATGAAGCAGAGCTGCCAAGGAAGTTCATCCATTCCACCATAATTCGCTCATTCCACAAATAACCTCTGAGCACTTAGCATATGCTGGGAACACCATTAGCATTAGTGATAGGTCCCAAGTAAGTGCAGTTCCTGCCTCAAAACCGTGTATCTCACAGAGAAAAAGCAAAGGAATTGAGTCATTATAAAGAGGGCAGGCAGGTACTGGATGCACTGGAAGCACATGAACAAGGCATCCCTAAGAGGCTTCCTGTAAGAGGCAGAGACCTAATTAGGGAGTTTGGGTGGATGGAATGGAATATGAGGAAGGAAGGGCATCTTACACAACTAGGAAACTGAGATCTGAGGATCATGGTTCAAAGCCAGCCCAAGCAGAAAAGTCTGTGGGACTCCTATCTCCAATTAATCAGCAGAAAGCCAGAAGTGCAGGCATGGCTCAAGGGATAGTGCTCCAGCCTTAAGCAAAAATAAAAGCTAAATGAGCATGTAAGGCCCTAAGTTTGAACCCTAGTACTAGCACAGAAAACAAAAACAAAACAGCAAAAAGAGCAGCATATATGTGGCAGACAATTCCATAGCTAGGTATATTTCCAAAAAGAAAATTGAAGACATAGATTTGAAAATATTCTTGTACTTGAATCTTTATTGAAATACTATTCCTTGAAGGCCAAAAGGTAGAAACACTCAAATGTTCACCTACCGATGAATAAATTGGGACACATATAATAGACTACTATTCAGCCATTCATGTTATGACACGTGCTACAAAATTGAACCTTGAAAACATGACGCTAAATGAAAGAAGTCTAAAAGGCCAAACATTATGTAATTTCATTTATATGAAAGATCCAGAATAGGTATACCTAGAGCAAAAAAACTAAAACAGATTGCTAAGTTTCAGAGGCTTGGGAATAAGGATAATAGGGTTGAGGAGTAACTGCTTAACAAGTGTGAGTTTTATTTTGAGGTGATAAAGATGTTTTAGAACTAGACAGAGGATGTTTAAACAATATCATAAATGCTGCCAAGGTCACTTTGGAATATTGATGTTATGTTATATTAATTCCACTTCAAATTCTGAAAGAAGACAGACAACATGCACAAAGACATACCCATGAACAACTTTTGGTTCATATGAAAAATTTCTAGGTAGGGCACCAGTGGTCCATGCCTGTAATCCTAGCTACACAGGAATCCTAGCTACACAGGAAGCTGAGGCCTAAGAATCCTGGTTCAAAGCCAGGTAAGGCAGAAAAAGCATGTGATACTCTTTTCTCCAATTAACCACCAACTATGCAGAAGAAGAGCTGTGACTCAAATGGTAGAGCACCAGCTTTGAGTGAAAAAGCTAAGGGACATTGTCCACAGCCCTGAGTTCTAAACCTAGTAACTGTGTGTGTGTGTGTGTGTGTGTGTGTGTGTGTGCGCGCACACACACACACACACACACACACACATTATTTTTCAATGGCCCAAACTAGAGCTAGGTAAATGCATACCTAGGAAAAGTGCTAGGAGGGAAAACGGGAGAAATTATAGAGTTAGATGACAAGGAATATTGGCTAACCCTTGATGGATAAGCATGATGTCCAGACAAAGAATGAAGAGCAAGTGTAGTGATACAGGAAAAGGAAACACTACCTAGGGAAATCTTGAAAAGGCACACTGAGTCTGGCCACTTGTTTCAGAGAAACTTGGAAATAATCATTGATTGGGTCTGACATGACTTTTCGTCTCCAGCCGTGGACCTCCTGAAGCAGGAGGTGATATTCAACGTTGTTCGCCTGGCTGCCACCATCATTATCTGCATTGGGTTCCTGCTGATGCTGCTGCCTGAGGAATGGGATGAAATCACCCTGAGATTCATCAACAGCCTGAAGGAGAAGAAGAGCGAGGAGCACATGGAGGACCTGACCGATTCCAGCGCCCACCTGCGGAGCAGAAGCAGGGCCAATGGGACAGTGTCTATACCACTGGCTTAAAGAGACACACAGTTTGAAGGCACACATATGTATATTCTGTGAATATAGTAAAATTTTCTCACTACCTGAACACTCAAATGACAGTATTAACTCTGAATTTGGATAAATCAGATGTGAAATAAGACCAACAATGAAGGTTTACATTTATATGCTTATCAAGGAACTGATGTAAATAATCATAATAAATTTTTTATTAAAACATTTGTCCTTGTTTATTTTGTTTGGGGGTTGGGAGGAGTCATTCCCTGGTGACCCAGTTGATTTCTTGAAAGTATAAGCTTCATTTAAATCGTAGAATCTTCTTTTTCTCAAAGGACAGAGGCGTTTTCACTCAATCACAGAAAATCACCTAAGAGGAAAGATGTATGAAAACGAGACGACTTTATATTTAATTAAGTCAACTAAGAGCCTGATACTTCGAAAGCTGAGAAGTCATTAAGCAAATCTCGATGGAGCTTCTATGCAAAACCTCCACTTGAAATAATGAAGCTGAAGGTGAAGATCCAGCTGAGTTTCTAACATGCTTCAAGCAGTGCAGGACAAAATGGGGTTCACAGAGCCCTCATCTGCAGGGGACACCTGCAGCTCTACCGTCCCTTGCTACCAGGTCTCTTGAAAGAATTATGTGTACATGGCTGCCTTTTGGTCTCCCACTCCCATTCACTCTTCAGCCCACTTCAATGAAACTTCTATCCCCTGCAGGGCGCTCTGAAACACTTGTTTCAATAGCCTCTTCCCCACCCCCCAAAGAATGCCTTTTTCCCCTTGGTCCTCTTTCTATTTCACAGACAGCTTCTCTAGTTCCTCTTCCCAGGGGAAGCTCCTCACCTTAGTGTTCTCTGGGTTTTGTCCTTGACCTTCGCAGCCCCACACATTCTCTCTCAGGGAGCTTGTGGCTTCAGCCATTTGATAACTTCAACATCTTCTGTTCCAGACCAGATTTCCCCTTGGGCTTGGGATCAAGGCCTTATGTATTCTAGTTGGATAGCTCCTTATATACCTCAATTACAGCAAAACCAACAATGAAGTGATTGTACTGTTCATACTGACTGCTTTCTTGGTTTCCTATTTAGGTTAATATCCTGTCAATCAGCTACCCAAGCCAGTGACCACCCTCCTCCCCTGCCTATCTGTGAAGTTGTTGCTCTATATTGTTTAACATGTCCTGTGAATCCTATTTCTGGTATCTCTTGTATATATACACTTTCCCACCTGTTCCAGGCCCCCATTTCTCTTGTCTGATTAATGTAGCACTCTTTAACTCCTAGACTTGCCTCTTTCTAATCCCTTTTGTGCCCCGCAAAATGATTTTTTATTTTTTTTGTGCCCCGCAAAATGATTTTTTATTTTTTTTTTGCCAGTCCTGGGGACTGGAACTCTGGGCTTGGGTGCTGTCCCCAAACTCCTTATTGTTCAAGGTTGTTAGCACTTTACCACTTAAGCTACAGCACAACTTCTGGCTTTTTCTGTGGTTTCTCACTGACTTCCCTTCCTGGGCCAGCTTTGAACCATGATAATCAGATCTCAGCCTCCTAAGTAGCTAGAATTATAGCCATGGTCTGGCACCTGGCCAGACTGATATTTTTAGCATATAGATTTATTCTTCTATATAACATCCTTCAAAAGCATCTCACTGTCCACTAAATAAAGTTTAAACACCTTGGCATATCATTCAAAGCTTATCACTGACTGGCCCCCATCAGCCTCTAGTGCTGTAATGTCTCCTAGAATTTTCTGTGCTGGTAGAAATGGTCTATATCTGCACTGTTATAGGCCAGTAGCTATGGGTTGTTATTAAGTACTTCAAATATAACTTGTACAATGGAGGTGTTGCATTCAAATTTTATTTTAATGTATTTGTCATTCAATTACCATATTAGAAAGCACAGCTGGAAAGCCCTTGAATGCCCAATGTTTCCATGACTCTATGCCCGTTTCAGCTCTTAATCAAGACTCGCTCTCTTTCTTGCTTACTTTCCTTCTCTCAGGGCCTAAATAACCTAGGCTTCATGACATTATTTGTTGCCATTTCCCTGGGAAATCTAGTCTAACCTTCCAGTCTGAATAATACGGCTTCCTTAACAGCCTCTGCTTACCCCTATTTTAGCACTGACTGCTTTTCCTGTTAGTCAACGTCCAACCCTGCCCTACAACAAAATCCCTGAGACAATTTATATATAAAAAGGTGTCTTTGAGGCTCATGGTTTCAAACATTTGAGTTCATGGTGACTTGAGCCCATGATTGCTTTGACCTAGTGCTTTGGGCCTATGATGGCATAATATATAATGGGAGGAACATGTGACAGAAGAGGCATAATTATGTCAAGATAACCAGAAAAGAGAAAGATGAAAAGGGAGGGAATTAGAGATGGAAAGGGAGAGATATGGAGAGAGAGGGGGGAGGAGAGAGGGGTGAGAGAGAGAAGAGAAAGAGGGGGGAGGGAGTGGGAGAGAGACAGAGGAGGGGATGTAGGATTCCAATATATCTTCTTTCAAAGTCATGTCCCAACAACCTAACTAGCGTCCTTCAACTAGGCCACATCTCCTAAAGATTCCATTACCTTTCAATAATACCACAGCCTAGAAACCAATCATTTAAGCTAACAGTTTTGGGGGATACTGATCTATGATAACACCATCTATGATGATAGACTACCAGTCTATGGAGTGTCCAGTAGACCATAAGCTCCTTGAGAGCAGAGGCTGTGTGGCAGTCATTGCTGTGTTCCCATAATGTAGCGCTGACAGGCATTCTACCCATAAACCAACGGGCAGCTCTTTACTAGAGATAATGTCCTTCTCTGAACTGTATGAGACCAGCCTTGGTCAAAGACAATCTTTCTCATAGATGAGCCTGGCTAATGTAAGGACTGTAGGATACCATAACCTTTACCACGTTTCCATAAAATACCAGCAGTAAGAAACATTCCTACACTGAGAGGTTGGGTAGGGCATATAGCAATTGAAGGTACTTTATGTTGGTGGGAAATTCAGCCCAAGAAATCAAACCTCTGTGGCATGTCTTAATACAGCTTTTTTCTTTTACTCAAGTGTCCATATAAGCGTAGGTGAGACATTCACATCAAGACAAAGAAACACAGAGTATTACACTCATTGGCTAGGCATCATGGTAAATTAAAATGCTACGGTGCTGAAAGGCAACATTAGACTCTTGGCATAGATAGATGAGAGGATACTAAAATAACACACGTGTTATGTCTCATGACATATTTTAAGCTGAACAAAAGACGGTGAAACATTAAATGTGATATGCTCTTAGTAAATATGAATTAATTCATTATCTAAGTAGAGTTGGTTTTGACTGTTTAAATGCCAGATTAGCACAAACATTGTTCTTCCCTTGTTTTTAAGTTACTATTAAATAATGGTAATCACCAAATAACCTTCTCCAGCATCTTGCTATTATTTAAACATGACATTTATAATTGCATTTTGACACCTCTAAGAAATGAGTTGTTTGGGTCTTTTGATGATTCATTCTGAAAAATAGAGTCCACTCTCCTGGCAAACACTAATTCAACACATAATTAACTCAGTCTATATTAAGAAAATACATCCATGATGGCATTCATTTATTTACTCATTCAAAAATTACTAATCTCTATCTCTGACTTTGAAGTAGAGTATTGTGTGAGGTTGTCAGCTTCCTGTGACCATAGAAATGTTCTCTATGCATTATAGAAAAGGGACACAAAAATGTGTAAAGAAGGGTCTTCGCTTGCAGAAGTATGACAGCTTTACAGGTAAGTTGTCACCTTGATGAAAACAACTCAGAAATGCACTTAACTTGGCTTTGGAAATGTGCAATGCTCCCTTTAATTCAGGTGAAATCCTCATAGGTAAAGATAATAATATCTTTCTTTGTTACTTCTCATCTTCATCATGAGAACCAGATGGAAGAATGTACTTCCATCACTGAACAAACATGGCTATACCTAAGCTGTGCCTTCAATGAAGCAGATTCAGTTGGGTCTGGAGGATAATTAAGGTACCTCTGCTTGAGTATGTGGAAGTGCTGTGAAATGACCGTCACCTGGAATCCTAGAGGCAATAGCTTCAAGTTTACTGAGGAGCCAGCATGATTCAGGGGAAAGAATATCCCTATGTATCTGCAATTTGCACTCTGCAGAGCTATAACTTTGTCAAATTGCTAACTTCCCTCTGAACCCTCAATTGCATCATCAGCAAAAGTGGATACAAATAGCTATCATTTAGTATCACTGAAAAAAATTAAATCATGTGTGAGGATCTAAATACACAACCAGATAATCCAAAGCAATAATTCTGCCAGAGTTTGTTTACCTCCCATGAGGTCTTTATCTGGAACATTTACATACAGATTTCTGTCCTGTCTTGTTCTTTGGCCACCCATTGCCAGACACTGGGTCATTGAGAGGTCTCAGAGCAGGGAATTTTACCAAAATAAATGAAAGAGACCAACCCCCCCCCAAAAAAAACCCCCAAAAAACCTGGCATGAAAATCACTTGAAGAAGAAAAAAGACTGTGCCATTTCTACTGCACACTCCCCTGGGCAGGTTACATCCCAGCATTTGTGCCCAGTCAGTGGAACTAATTGCCTGACAAAAAGACAGACTAGCAACTTGGGCTCTGGAATTAAAATCACTTCAACCACGTCCTGATCTCTTCACAAACAGATTATAGGCAAATCAGTTTTGCTCATCCAGGCTTTGCATGCCTGTTAATTTCATGCAGACATTTTGTCAAGATCCAGAGGACAAATGATTGGGAGAAGACAAAAACAATATGAGAGATAAGAGAGTGAACAATCTACCTAGCCAAGAATTAGAATGTTTCTAGTATTTAAATACAAATCCTCTTTCTTGCTTATCCACAAACCCCTGGCAGAAATACAAAGACTATCTAGTGTAATCCTGGTTGTGTGATCTGACACCCTACAAGGAGAAGTTTCTATTAATTCTAATTCTTCTTTATCTTTTTTCCATATCGGTGACAACTGGAAACAAGTGAAAGCGGGGAGTGTCTAAAGGTAGTGGAATGGGGGTGCTAAGAACTCATAGAAGAAAGAAGACACTTTAATACTCTGCATGTCTAGTATGATCTACATGGAGACCACCAAAGCAGAAGCAATCTGCAGGGGACAGAAGTGCCATATTGTTTGGAGCTTGAGAAATCTTCAGAACAACCCTTAACTTGAG